AGCATATTATCTGATTCTCAGATTTTATAAACCAGTAAGATTTTTAAAAAATTATATATGAAAGCTGCTTTGTGGGGAGACATCTGCTCTAGCGCTGCATGTCAAGCCCCAGCACAGTACCTGTTATAGAGATGGTGCTTGGTACTATTTGCTGGATGTGGTTAAATAAGAAAAATGTCAATTGAAGCTCCTGGGGAGACAGTGGGCTCTACTCTGGGCAAAAGATGCCATCTGCAAAGCTGTGTTTCCTGGTGACATGAATTGGTGACCTCCTGTAAATTGAATTTACAGCACCCCCTGGGCACTTGTATCCCAGCTGTTCATTACTCCCTCCCATCAGCTGCCAGACCTTCTCCAGTCCCTCTGCCCCTTCCTTCCCTGTTCCTCCACCCTACTCCTGCAACTTAGAGCATCCTTCTCTCTGCTGCCAGGTATTCTTATTACTAAAGAATTCCCCTGGGGTAATGGGCAATTATTCATCGAGGACAGCTCCAGACACTTCTTGCCTGGAGAGACTGGTGGCCTAGATGAGGCAGTTGTCAATTCTTTACATGGGCTCTTGACCATCAGTGATAGAGGACTGAACCTGCACAGCCCTGCAAAGGTAACCGACAGAAGTAAGTTTCTGCTCTGCCAAAGCTCATAGCCTACAAGGATAAGATGGGCTCTGCTGGAGCAAGCTGTGTGGAACTTTTGCATCTGAAGTTTGATAAGATGCCAAGGAAGAGGTGGCCACTCAGTCAAGCCTTGAAAGAGGAAGGACAAACTCATCAACAGGCAGAGAGAGATAGAGTCAGGACCAGCCTGGTTACTCACCCCTCCCCTTTCTCCATCAACCAGGCAAGCCTGTTCCACTACCTGCGACAAGAGTGAAAAGGAGCAGCACCTAGCCTATGACAGCTACCAACAGCAGCCTCCCTCTCCCAGGCTGTGCTTATCATCTTCATAGGGCCACTGGCAATCCTGACTCCTGTGTGAGCTCCTCATCCTCGGTCTAAAGATGTCACTCCATCCTTTTGGACTCCTCTGTGAAATGAAGACAATCAATATCTGACTTAAAGTTATTGAAGCACCAAGGAAATTGGGCAGATTGCGAAAAGCTGGCTAGTTAGCTGGTTAGCTGGTGTATTTGGGTTTGGACCCAGGAACGCAAGGGCCAAGGAAAAATCTTTGAGGTGAGAGACAATAAGTTTTTTGCAATACACACTCAGCAGCCTTAAAAATGGATGCTGCTGGTCACAAGGGAGCCTGGGCATGAGGAGAGGCAGATGGTTTGGTGTCATCTCATCCTCCTTGTTGTGTTCAGACATGTCTGCAAACAGGCCCTCAGCATCAAAGAGCCTTCCGGGTAAGGCTAGTGCCCCTCCTGCCACTCCCTGTGTCAAGGATTTGTCATACTAAATTGCAATGCCACATTAGCAGACTATTAGGCTACTTAAGAGCAGATGCATGTTTCATATCTTCTTTTCTATTAATGTATACTTGGCATGCAATAGACCTCCAAATCTTTGCCCAGTGACCAAACAGATGCATAAGCCTTCCAAGTTGTCAGCCTGTCAGGATTGCAGTTGTTTAGTTCCTCTTGCTCTGGCTAGGCAGAGAAGAACCAAGAGTGTCCCAGGGAGCATATGGTCTTGCTATAAAGCACTGCCTGGCAATTACAATGATCTGAGCTGCCCAAGTGTGAGCAACTTGCCCTGGTCTTCTTTGCTGGCATGGCATAGGCCAGAAGCTCATTTCAAAGTCCATAAAGGCACCCTTTCTACCTATAGTTTAAGCAGACAAAGGACATCATTTGGTGACACTAAAATAAGCAGATCTCTCAAAGGTGGGGAGCCTCCATTCTACAAGTAAAACACAGCTGAATCTTTGATTGCTGGTTACCCTGCACAGCTTGGGAAGGGGTCTCTGACATTTGCAGAGGGCCAGGGAGCAGATAGTTTAGACTAACTTCCTCGAAGGCCTTTCTCCCATCCACAGCCTATTTTCACAACTGCCCTTCTCTCCAAGCTCCAATCATTTTCTTTTTTTTGTTTTTTGTTTTTGGTACCAGGGATTGAACTCAGTACCTTGCACTTGCGAGGCAGGCGTGGTGCCACTGAGCTAAATCCCTGGCCCCCCAATCATTTTCAAAGTACCCCCTAATTAGGCTCCTAGCTCTACATCCCAGAGAACCAGGAACAAAACCCCTCACTGACCTGTGACCTTAGGAAAGTCATGGCAACTCCCCCTGAACCTTAATTTCCTGTTTATTATTTGGGAACAAAAATTATAGCACCTTATAAGGTTATTTTAAGAATCAAGTGAAACAAAGCCAAATCTCTGGGACCTAGTTGGACCTGTCCAAGTTCTTCTGCCTTCCTCCAGGGTTACCCACTGTCTGCACACAAACTTCTCAGAAGTCTGCCCCACCCAGCCTCCAGGCAGCCAGACTCACCCAGCAAGCAAAAGAAACTCCCTCCCTCAGGGTCCAAAGGGAGGAGGAAGCAAAGAAAGTTGCTTGTCAGTTGGACAAACGGGTGGGTGTGCAGACCAGCCCATGAGGGTGTTCAGCCTTTAGAATACAGGTTAGGGACTTTAGTCTTTCGATAACCAGCCATGTGACTTTTGGGAAATCCCATTTCCTTCTCTATACCTCAGTTTCTTTACCTGTGATGTGGCACTGTACAGACACAAGGGACAGCAATTATTAAGGGCAGGGGTCCAGAAGGCCTGGGAGTTGGGTGAGTACAGATAAGATTAGAAGCTCCTGCTTCCAGGGTTACAGTCTCCTGCCTGGGACCTGGTTGAAGGACCCCCACCCCAGGCCCCGAACAGTCCTCAGATCCCACTATGACAGCTTTCTCCTGCCAGTCAAATCTCCTTGTCTTTTTTTTTTTTTTTTGGAGAGAGAAAATAAAAATAAATATAAATCCTGCTCTGGGCCTGGAGTCTCTTAGTGAGAGACTGCCTAGTTTAGTTCTCTTTCCCCTTCCCAATTCTGCAACTCACCTCCCTCAGGGAACCTTCCATGTATGCACATCCAGCCTCAAAACCCCTCTTTCCTCCAGCATAGCCCCAGCATTTGAGTAAACTTTTGGAGGGCACAGGCTCCACCTTGAATCTTCTTTATGAGTAGTGCCTGGCATACAGTAGACATTCTGGAAGTAACTACTGCTTAAAATCTGCACTTGTGGGATTAATCCACAACTATTAACATTTCTGTTGCTAAATATTTAGAGTTAAGAAAATCCCACTAAGCAGGAGAGTCCTGTCAAACCATGTGGAACTAGAAGCCCCAGTGACCAGGAGCCTTGTCTCTCCCTTCATGTAACAGGATATACAACCTGTGCCCTAGATTGTGACCAGACTAGCTCCATTCAAGCTCCACTGCACCATTACTTTGGACAGTGGGGCAGGGTATTGCAGTGTTAAGAGGAAAGGCTTTGGTATTTGGGTCCTGGCTCAGCTACTTACTAGCTATGTAATCTTAGATAAGAAACTTAACTGTCCTGAATCCTGATTTCTTTTTCTCTAAGAATAAGGAAAATACCTATTTCTCCCAATGGTTGTGAAAAGCAAGCTAAAATGCAGATTAAGTCATTATAGCACAGTGAGCAGCATATAATAAGTGATAAATAAATCGAGCCTTTGTCAGGATTACATGAGGAGACCTGACCCCTTGTCCTGGTTGCCGCTTGCTGCCCAGCATTGCCACCCACTTTCTTTTCCCCTGCTCTGTGTTCAATCTTGCCTTTTTCTTCTGAAGAATGCAATACACAAAGAAAGTTCAGTCAGGCAAGGAACAATTAAAATGGGAGGGTGGAAATACCGAGTGAAAAATTAACCCTTCCTCTGAAGCCATCTAGATCACCCCTTCCAGGAAGAGGAGCCTCACCAATGGTTTTCCCAGCTTCCTTCTTCCTGCTTAGGACTAGTTGGCCTCCCAGGGAATCGGGTCTCCGGTGACACTCACAGGGCTGGGTTAAGATGGTAAACCTCAGTCCCTCCTGCTGCACATTATGAACAGGGCACCAAAGGCTGCCAGTGTTTCTTAACAAATCTCAGTGGCAGGGAGCTGGATTTAGCAAATAAAAAGTAGGATATCCAATTAAATTTGAATTTAGTAAGTGGTGAATAATTTCAGATCCAGTATGTCCCACACAATATTTGGGATAAACTGATACCACAAAATTTAGTGGTTATTTATTTGCAGTTCAAATTTAATGGACTATCCTACATTTTACCAAACACTACCCAAGTTCTCCTACCCAGAGAACAGAGAAAAGATTAAAGTCTTTTCCCAATCCACAACTAACTGCCCCCCTCAGTGTTCTCACCATCCACCCTGGAAACATCTTTCAACAACTCGAGCAGATGGGCTAAGCAGGAGCTTTTTCCTGAGCTTGAGAGTCCAGAGTCTGCCTTGTCAGAGTGCCCAGAACCATGCCAGACCAGAGCAGGTGCTCAAAATAGCTTCCCTCATTCATTGCTGGTGGCTTGAGCACCAGTGCTGGACCCAGGAGAGGAGTGAATGTGAGGGTGCCAGGTCAGCTTTGTCTGGATGGGGGCCCCTAAGAGCAGAGCTGGGTGAAGGTAGGGTTGGGGAGGTCACCCTACCAGTTGTTTTGAAGATCAAATAGGAAAATGGCCAGGGATACATTTTGCAAATCTCTGCGGAGAACACAGGTTAGGACTAAAGACCTGTGAGTAGCCCACTTTGCTACAGGGCCTCAGGGAGAGGGATAGGCAAGACAAAGGCATAGAAGCAGAGAGCCCAGAAAGCCAGCGCCTCTGGACACTGTAATAACAATGACTAACGTCTGTGCAGCACTTGGTGATTTGCCAAACACGTTCACATCCATCCTCTTTAGAGGATGGCCCACCAGGTTATGGTGCGTTATGAGACCATTTTCCAGAGTGGCTAGAGCGGCATGTATCAGGCTTTCCCGGGAGGTGAGGCCTGGCCCAAGAGGCTGGGGATGGGGTTCCACTGGTGTGGAGCGCAGGGCTGGGCCTACCTTCTGGGCCTGCTGGATCATCTGCCTGACCACCTGCTTGAGGTGTGGCGCCTTCTCTTCCTTGGGGGGATGGGTGAAGAGGGTGAGGCGGCTCACGCCGCGGAAGAAGCCGCTGTCCGTCCAGCCCAGGTCTAGAGGGGGCACCTCGGTGTCAGAGCGGTCTGGCCAGTAGGCCAGGGACTCGGTGGGCTGGGCCGGGGCTGGCGCGGCGCCCTTGGCTTTGGCTTTGCTCTTGCCCCGTGCGGCAAGGGCGGCGTCCTCATAGGGGCTCCAGGCTGCGCGGAGGGCCTGGCGCTCCGGGCTGGAAAGGAAGTTCCGTAGCTGCTCCTTCTGGACCTGGTCGCAGTAGGCCTGTTCGCCGTCGCGCAGCAGAGCCTCCAGCGCGGCCCGCCGCCGCTCGCAGTAGTAGAAGGCGGCCTGCGCCTCGGTCACCTTCTCGTTCACATGCGCCTCGTCCAGGCAGCTCACTTGGGACTCGGCCATAGCGCCGCGGCCGTCGGCCCTGGCTGACGGCCTAGCCCCTGCCCCAACGCGGAGGGCCCAAGGCCGAACCTGGAGCCGCCGAGGGGCGGGGCGCCTACCTGGCTGCGAGGTCGGCCTCAGCCCCACCCCCAGGCCGCCAGGCGGCCAATCCGCGCGGGCTGCAGCGTGGGAGCGGCCGTCGAGCGGGGCGGGGCGTCAGGTCCGTCCGGCGGGTCGGAGTAGGTGACCCCGCAGCCTTTGGACAGCTCCCGAACCGCTGGGCTTTCCTGGGACGCGATCGGGGCTGGGCTTTGTCGGGCCCAGCCCAAGTCCAGAGGCCCAGCGTGGAAAGGAAGTTGGAGCGAGGCCCACTTTAGACCCACGTGTAACCCCGGGCCCACCTCCAGCTGCTCCTCCGGCAGTGGGAGATGGACAACCTAACCCTTCCCGCAGCCAGCACCGCCCTCCCCGCTCCCCCCCGCCCCCCCGCCAGAGTCGTCGCAAGTGCGCTGTCATTTTCCGTGCAGGTACGGTAGGGACCAGGGCACGTGTTCTGGCCTCTGGGGTCACTAATCTGACCTAATGCCTGACGTCTCACTGCTGGACGGGATTTTGGTATGGGAAAACAAAATGTTAATGAGATCGCTAGCTTCACACCCACGTGTCCTAATTCTGAGATCCGAGGCCTCCGGGGTCTGTCAGTCCAACACCTTCACTACAAAAATTTCTTTGAAAAGAAAAAAGCCACCCAAACAGAAAAAGATGTAAGCAGCAGCAGTGGAAATTTACCCCCATTTTAATTTGAAGTGCGTGTGTGTGTATGTGTGTGTGTGTGTGTGTGTGTGCGTGTGTGTTTGGGCAAGATAGGCTGCTACAGGCCTGATTACTATATTAGTGATTCAAAATATATGTTTGAGCTCAGGGAAGAAAGCCTCGCAGGCACAGACACACACACACATACACACACACACGCACACACACACACACACACACACCCTACCGGCAGCTCTGCTGTTTCCTATTGGATTAAATACAACCTTCTTAGTCATTAACATATTATTTTGTTCATGCACTGCTATACAATTTGATTCTCCACATTCAAAATATTTTCAGATCATAGCAACCAAAGGTTCACATTTCTCTCATTTTGTAGTACAGCATCTCAGAACTGGAAGGAGCTTTAGAAACTAGTCCAATCTCTCATTTTACAAATGAGGAAATTGAGGCCTAGAAACAAGTGCTTTGGCCAGTTCCTGGTAAAAAGAGAGGCAGAGCATCGGGGTTGCTAGGCTCTGTAGGAGGCCCTTTCTCCTTTTCTTATTGTGTGGGTTATGGGGGATGTGGTGGTTTTTAACCCTGGAGGACGGGGAGGGATCACTTACCATTTCTATGCCTTCCATCCATGGTCTGGGAAAAAATGAGGGAGATTTTATTCTTTTTTTTTTTTTTTTGGTAGCGGGTACCGGGGATCGAACTGGGGTCCTTGCGCTTGCCAGGCAGGTGGCAAAACCACTGAGCTAAATCCCCAGCCCAATAAGGGAGATTTTAAAACATCTGTAAATTTTGTGATGATAGTTCCAGGCATCTTGGATCAGCCCAAAGATTGGGGATGAGTAGTAAAGTGCCTGATCTGTCCTTTGCCATCCCTGGAAGTGGAAGGCTACAGTCCAGGTAAAAGCCCACTCTTAAGTACTACAGACAAATTCCATCTTTAGATTAGAGAGCATATAGTTTGTTTTATAGACTTAGGGCCCTACAAGGGCCAGATCCTGTACCCTGGGAACACAGAGGAGCTCAGGAGAGAGGAAAGGAGGAACAAAGATAACACAAGCAGTGTGATGAAAAACAGTGCTCAACACAAGTGTGATGAAAGTGTTTTAATAAATGTAGTCAAGTGTTTGGGAGCAAGTTGGCTCAACAAATATTTACTCAGTGCCTACTGTGTGTCTGGCACACAGTTCAGGCATATTACTTAAAGACTGAATTAGGGCCAAGAGAATGAATGGTATGGGTAGGGAGCTTCAAGGTCTCTGAAGGGAAAAGCAATTAATCTGCCCAGTGGGATATGGATAAGAAGGGCTTTGCCTATTAGGAAGAAATTTTGAATGGACTCTGAAATAATGAGAAGAATTCAAGGATAGGAGAAGGTTTTGAGATATGCTAAAGGTCAGAGCATCATGCTGATATTGGGTGCACATGGGTTCAGGTCAAGAGACCTACCCTTCAGAACCTTACTGCTTCTTCTGTAAAATGGGTCACTGATGCTGACCTCCCAGATGGTTGGGGTTTAAATGAGATCGCATATTTGATTTAATTTTAACTCCTGTCCAATAAACAGAAAGTAGTTTAGAGTATTGCTTCTAAAACTTTACTGAACATAGCAGTCATCTTACAGGAGTGGGTCTGGCTAAAATTTAGATTCTAATTCAGCAGGTCTGGAATGAGGCCTGAGGTTCTGCATTTCTGACAAACCCACAAGCTATGCTAGTAGTGCTGGTAGATCATGGTAAGGATTTTAGAGCCACATAAATAAAAACATGAACTTCTGTGTCAGGGAATGGGTCCTGAAATGGAATCCTGATTTTCTGGTGTGAGCTGGGTATCCCTGGGAAAGTTGTTACTCCTCTCTGGGCCTTGGTCTCATCATCAATTGACATCCAGGCAATAATAAGCCCTACCTTAAAGGTTTTTTGAGAAGGGAAAAAAGCTAATGGAAAACGTACCACTCTGTGGAAGATCTGACATAGGTAGCAACCAGGAAAGGGTAGGAGAAGATGGGACTGGAAAGAGAGGGATACTGGGGCCAAATTATGGGCACCTTGACTTTAGATCTTAATCTGTGAGCTACAGAGGAGCCACTGAAGGTTAAGAGAGTGACAGTATCATAAAAAATACAGTGGCATTTACTATGTGCCAGTCACTATGCTAAATATTTTATGTGTACTTTCAGTGAACTATGTAATCCTATTAGAAAAATTATTCTCCCCATTTTACAGCTGAGAAAACTGAAGCACAGAGAGGTTCAGTAGCTCACCTAGGTTACCCAGCTAGTAAGTAGAAGAGCCAGAATACAAATCCAGACTAACTCCAAAGCCTGTCTACCTACTCACTTTGCTATTCTGCCTACATTGAGAATGTTAGAAAGGGACAGTAGAAAGTGTTCACCTTTTTAATTAAATTATTCATTCAACAAACATTTGCTGAATGCCTAGCATTGTATTAAGGGTTAGAAGCCATTCATCCATTTACCAAATCCTTGTGGAGCCTTACACAAAGTTCAAGGCCTTGTTCTAGGTCCTGGAGATGCAGCTCTGAGCAAAAGCAAGTCCACTGGGGGCTTACACTGAACTAGGATGCTTAAAACATGGTTTTTGCTTTCAAAGGGCATAGACGTTATGAGACATGAGTTGGGATTGGACAGAAGCTTAGAAGGAATATTTTAGAAACAGTTCACATTGAAAAAGATCTTTCCCAGATCTAATGAATATGAAACACACTGTGGTCTTTGGTGAGAGTCACCTTTTATTTACCAGTGACTTACTTATTCAGCCCACATGTTTGAAAAGTTAATGTATAGTAGATAACCTGCTTGGGACCCTGAATAAAAAGGAGGAAGCAGACATGATAGTTAGCTGCCTTGTTGGAAGTCAAATATGACATAGGGCTGGGGTGTAGCTCAGTAGTAAAGGGCTTGCCTAGTGTGTGTGAGGCTCTAGGTTCCATCCTTAGCCCCACAAATAAACAAAACAACCATGAAAAGCTCACAGTAGTCTTTACAAGGCAAAGTGTTAAGGGACATAGTGGGTGAAGGCTATAGAGACATTTAATACACAGTGATCCAATACAACCCAACCTCCTTCCAAATCTGTTAGACTATGAAAAGGATTATTGTAAGGTGTTACAGAAGAATAAAGCGAGGCTCTGGGAGTAACATGTCCTCTTCAAGGTTATCAGCTGTCAATTGGAAATGCTAGGATACATATTTCATGAAGCCTGGCCCCTACCTTTCTACCCTACACACAGCTAAACACTCTGTATAGCATTATTAAGATATTTTTTAAAAGTCTTACCTGTGGGAGAGACTGATTTCTTTTAGGTATGGGCCCTACAGATTAAGCTAAGTAATTTAGCTTAATTGGAGTCCAGAAATGTTCCCTGATGTGGTGACCTCCTAGGAAAACCCTAATCTTCTCCCCTCCCTTTGGTTCTGGACCTGGAGTTTCCCTGAGCTAGGTGGGGCCCATCCTAGTTGCATTTCCAACTTCAGAGGACACCTTGGCCAAGGTGACTTCTGCCTTCTGAGTACCCAGACCTCCAGCAAGTCCCCTCCCACGCCCTCATTCTCTTGGCTTCCGGGGAGGACTCCGCCTCTTCCCGCCTGGGTACTTGGCTCTAATTCACCTTGCTCTCACCCTCTGCCTCGCACACTGCAGGCTGTGTGCTCAGTAAAGATATGACACCTGATAGTTAACATTAATTGTAGCTGTGTTCATCTCTGTGCACGTCTATTTCCCCTGGCCCTCCTGTGTAATTTGATTCCCAAAATAGCCTACCTCATGATATATTCTTAGATAAGTTTCCCAGGGGTGACTTTTTTCTTCTGTAGCAATTTGTGTCTTGGCCGCCTATTATAAAACTTTGGGGGGCTCTCTCACACCTCTGTGAAATGTTTCTTTGTCGCCTATTCCCAGAGCGGGTGAGAGAACAAGCAGAAGAGATTCCACTGGTGCCAGGTAAGGAGCAGATCATAGGCCCAGACAGGTGGAGCAGCCTTCTAGAACCTCTGACCCACCCTATTGTCCCAAGAAATGAATACCTTTAGGCCTCACATCTGCACCTTTGTGACTTATTTAAGGTTTTCATCTGCTCATTCAATGATTTATTTTGAGACAGGGTCTTACTATGTAGTCTTGGTGAGACTTGAACTCATTATTTATCCCAGGCCTCTATTTCTTGGTGATACTCCTGCCTCAGCCTCCTGAGTTTACAGATGTGTGTAATCTCCTCCTGGGATTATAGATGTGTGCTACCCTCCCCTTCAGTGATTCTTTATTGAATCACTGAATCACTTTATCAAATCACTATGTAGTTGGTAAGTTCCTGCCCCACAGACCTTCCAGA